CTGTCAGAGACCCCCTTAAAATGATTTTTTTTTAAAGTGGTCCTAAGGGACCACCTTCCCACGATCCTGAAGGACGCCAAGGATCTCCAGTGATGTTGGGGACTCTTCTCCCTAGAACTTGCGACTCAAGGGGTTGCCAAGGGAGTAGAGAGAAGGTCTAAACGTTAGGGACGGGCTCCTGAGAGTGGGTAGACTCCCATCTCCATCCCGAAGGGTCCAGACACAAAGAGTGCAGACACAGCCCGGGGACTCCTCTGGACTCCTGGGGCCCTGGGGTGCTGAGTGCAGCTGGGATAGAACGGGGAAGGGCTGGCCAGAGGGAAACATCGACTTCGGAGATGTGTGCCTCCTCCCCCTCCCCACCCCCCATTTTCATCCCTGGGGGGGGCGGGGGTAAAAGGTGGAGTATCCCCAGATCTCCTGGAGGCGGGAATCCTTGAGCCCCTGTGGGCAGCATGGCCACAGCTTTTGGCGGGGCAGTCCCGACTTTTAACAAATTTTCCCGCGTCCTGCGGCGTTTTAAAAAAGTTCCGATTTTTGGAAAGAATGCACGTCAAGCTAGGGTATACGGTTTTCGGCTGCCATGTGGCTATTTCGCCAGGATATGAGTTTTATCGATGGTGTCCCGCTTTTATCCCGCTTTACCAATGTTAAAATCTGGTCACCTTAAGCACGGGCCCTCCCGCATGCCCACTTTTGGGGCTTTGATGGTGCCAGGCCAGAGAAGCCGACTGATCCTCAAGTGAGGGGAAGATGGGGCGATGGGGTTCCCGGGGGACCGAGGAGACGCCGAAAGAGACGTCCCCGTCAATGCAGTTTTCTTTTCAAGGTCCACTTAGCCTCTCGAGGCCGGGGTGGGTCAGCTCCAGCGACACTGTCGCCACCTTGAGGGCGTACGGAAACGTTACACGGCCAACGTCTGCCGCAAAACGACAGTCGAAGCGCCACGAGGAGCCAATCAGAGGGCGGAGGGATGCTGGCCAATCAGAGAGCGAAGGCGAGCCTCACCTCAGAAATGCAACCAATCAAAGAGCGAGAGCCCCGAATGCCGCAGAGCGGAGACCGGGAAGCGCTCCCGCCCCCAGCAACAGGGACGCACACGCGAACTCGCGAGCCAATCAGAGCCCCGCTCCGTGCCAGGGAGTGGGCGGGCCTCGAATGACGCACCGCCTGATTCCCCAGGCGAATCGGAAGCTCCCGCCCGTCTCCCCGCCCCCCCAACTGCCTAAAGCTGATTGGCTATATTTCAGAATTTGCCTGTCAATTTTGGAAGCTGGGTAAAGGGCCTTTCCTTGGCGACGCAAGATCCCGCCTTCTAGCTGCTAGCGTGGACGGAGGGGGAGGGGCCTTAAAGGGCCAGATACGTGGTCATTGAAGTGGAACCAGGATCCAAGTGGTCGCAGAAACAGGAGAAACACGACCAAATAGAACCAGGACCGGTCCCTTTGGCGGGAGCTGAGCAGTGAGCGCACTCTTGAGAAACTCACTTGAAAGCTGCTGGCTCAAGGTCAAAGTTGCCTTTATAGTTTGTCCTTGAGCTGATCTTGCAGAGAAGACGTTATAAACCAAAACCCGCTAGCTTCCTGCCTCATTCTGACTCAGACCGAGCTCAACCCACTGCCGTTGCATAAATAGCAAGCCCATAACAACTGCTCCCTGGGGTTTCTCAGGATGTCAGTCTTCACGTGAGCAGACAGCTGTTTCTTTCTCTGGAGGGGTGGATGGTGGGTTTGAGCCACGGACCTGGAGGTCAGCTTAACCCACCGTGCCACCGGGG